TGAACGGACGGTTGCGTTATAAACTCTGTCTTGCAGGGCAGGAGTAATGTCGCGTCCGCGCCACAGGTGGCGGAAATTGGCAAAAGCAATTCGAGCTTTTGCTATACGCATCGTGATCTCAAGTTCGATCCAACGGACGCTAACATAGCTGCCCAGATACTGGAATTCCTGAACGACTTCTAGCTGATCACCACCAAGGGTCAGCGCAAGGGTGGGTTCTTGCCAATCTTGGAGAAGTACTTTGCATTTCGATGGAGCAAAGCATAGCCCAAAACGACAGACAGCCAGTGCCATTCGGTCCAGTGTTGCTTGACATGTTTGGGAGCTGTCACAGATTAGGACAATATCGTCCGCGTACTCCAAGTCAAGAAGTTGCTCAGCAGGAAGTAGCTACACACCTTCTAAGTCGTGTCCAGCGAACTCTATTTCCATGACTTCATCAAGGTTGAAGCTAAAGGGAAAAGGTGACAGCCAGCAACCTTGTATCACACCGCTGGAGAAATTGAAGGGTGGCGACAGTTTGCACTAAACCCTCACGCTGCCCCGAACTATGTGCATACAGCGCTCTGATAATTACGTATTTTTCGGGCACACCTTTCCTGAGAAGACAATTCCAAAGGAAACTCGAGCAACCGAATCGAAGGCACCTTTGAAGCCGAGGAACAGGACAACGGCGGACCGCCAATAAATATGGCGAGAAGGACCAAACGGAGAAGTCGGAGAAAAACCTAACAAAGTACCTAAAAGATCTATCTACCCGAGTATTAATACCTGCTTGCATAGTTGAAAGTTTGAGGCCAGTAGGAACATCTATTCTGCGAATATCCAGGTTTCTAAATTTCATTAAGTAGGTGTACCTCTGCGGCAAATATTGTCCGTGACAAATTTAGTGTATCATCCCACAGGCCAGTGGTTAGCAGAAATGTTGCAAACCATAAGAAAGCGAATTGCTCGACATAATGTGAGTGATGGTTTTACATTGGTACAGGTGGGAACCTACAAGAGAAGAAAATATTCTCATTAGACGTAACTAATATTCACGAATGTGTCGCCTCTAGAAAATACAGAATAGTTATGTAACTGTGTGCAGGAAAACGGTATTTATCTAGGTATACCATTATTAAGCCTGAAGGAATTGCTGTTGAGATGCAAATACAATGCTCAACTCCTTTTCAACGGCACCTGTTACCGGCAAAATGACGGTGTCGCAATGGGGTATCCACTCGGACCAGTGCCAAACTAGAAAATGAATCATTGAGTCCAAACATAGATCGTTTCGACCTGTACTATCACTACATTGGCGATATCTTTTGTGTGACCAATAAGGATTTAAGTGTAGAAGATATAGTGGTAGAGATCAGTAATGAGCATACGGCAATCACGTTCACCTACGAACTCTAACAAGAGGGCCAGCTCTCGTTTCATTGATGTACACCTGAGTAGGCGAACTGATGATTCCCCATTAAGAATGATCAACAGAAAGAAAACGTGGACCGGTCAATACACAAACTTCATTCGCCTTAGTTTTAAAGACGATTGCGGAGCTTATAACAAGAAAAATGACGCAGTCAGGATCACTTTTCCAGCTGCAGAACTGTGTTGTATCATTGCCACAAACTCCCTTATTCCAGTGTGTAGTAAGGACAAACCGTAGAAGCTGAACTCCGCTTACATAATCTATCGATTTGAGCGCACCTGTGTGCAACAAATATAGGTCGAACGCTTCGCCAATTATCACCTTGTGTTAAGGAACATGGTTCTAAATGGTTGACGAACGGAGGCACTGGAGTTTTGGCAGGCAGAATTTGTTCCACCAATTCGAAACAGGTCACAGGGTTCACCATACGAATGCATTTACTGTGGTTTACCAGGTCCCCTTGAACAAGTCGAAAGGTCTGCGTCTACGAATGCTCACCAAAAACACTATTGCAATCCGAATATGCCAACCTTCACTATGCTAGCAAAAGAAGTTGGTTCAATCGCTCTGTCTGCCCTAGCCAAACAGCAGTCAACCTAATCGTCATTCTGACACCGGTGTCATCAGTTTGATTACGTAGGCCCGATCGGTGCGTGTGTGCATACAAGACAGCGACGAACTAGTTGCTGTCTAACTATTGCCATGTCTGAACCAATCGCCGTGCATTCCCTTCGTATTTTAACATATGATTTATACTGGCCCGTAGATGAATCATTGAAAACAAGTGTTTGCCTCAGACTGGTGTTCTTGATGAATCACTGGAAATGTTTCGCATTTTGAAACATGGCAGTGCTCCGACAATTGAGGTAAGGTTGTGGTCGATGAAGCCTCGATTTAGACGAAACCCGGCTTGCTCCTCACGAATCTGACTTCTACGTGTGCCATTCAGATTGTGGAGAATGACAGAAGCAAGCTAGGTAAAGGCAAAGGAGATCAAACTGATTCCTCTATGATTGCCAAATTCAGAACGGGAGACTCCCTTGAAAATTGGGACTATGATGGAGCGGCTCCAGTCCGTTGGGACAGTCTCCTGCTCCCACATCTTCACTAGTACATAGTGCAAATCTTTTACAATATCCGGTCCCCGAATTTGAAGCGGGATAATGGAAGTCTATCTGCCCCTACGGCTTTATTCGATTTCAACAGTCTGATCTTACGCTTGATTCCTGTGAATGAGGGCGGAACAGGGGAGAAGGCCTAGGATGTAGGTCGATCAATGGCCGGTGAAAAAGCTGACAACTCTGACTGATTGAACTGTTTCTCAAAGTGTTCGGTCAAACCCTCCCAGAGTTTTGACAGGCTGCCCACTCTTGTGGCGTACGGTCTCACCAACGCCAAGTCTCCTGCCTTCCGTTTCCGGCGTCAGACGGAATAACTTAAGATGGTTACTGTTGTGTCGTCACTGACGCCTTCGCCCCACGACTGCAAGAAGAAGTCCAAATACGAGCCAGAAAGAGATGTGTATACATGAAATCACATTTGCTTATATAGTTTTGAAGGCAAAATGAAGGGAAGCTACTAAATTACACTTGAGCCAACCAACAGAAGGAAAAACGTCAAATGCAACGGGCGAATAAGCAACCGTGTAATTAAGAGCGAATCGCATATGTCCTTAAAAATATCATCATGGGACTCCAAACGTAAAGCGAACATCCATTTACAGTGACGGGCACTGGCCAAGCAGAATAACGAAATGTATCGTTTAAACAAAGGTCAAGAAACAAAATGAGAATAAGAAATGCAGACCCAAAAATTAAAAAAATAGTACAATAATCGTGTGACAACTAAATATTCCTCTAACATAACCAAGTAGAACAGTGATGAGGAGAAAAACCAATGGAATGTGTTCTTGCAAATGGCACTGCTGAGAAGGAGACGACGATGAGCGTCCATTAACAATGACGTGTGTGGACCAATCGGGCTAACCCAGTAGAGCGTTTAAACAACAGACAAGAAGTAGAAAATAGGAAGAATAAAGAATGGCCACTAAGCTTGTTCACAAGAAATGAATGTCTAATAGCTATTCTCCTAATAGTTACCGACGGCAGTGGCTGTTTCCATCTCCGGCGCAAGAGGAGACCCAAAGGATTCGCTATCTCTCTTTAGGCCAGCACGCAGTTTTACCCCGAGATTTTTGCGAGTCTCATTGTATTCACTAACAGCTGGAATACGTAGGCGAGCATCCATAAGTTCCAGAGACTTTGTAGAGATCCAATGTCTGGGTTGGCAATTTGATTGGCCACATGAAGACATATCTGAGGATAGTAACTTTGACGAGTATGTAACCAGTGATATTCGATGGTGTTCAGTAGGCGCTTACTCAGTCCGGATGCCAGCGTACTTCGATACGTAGACAGATCATCTAGCTTCGCCAGCTGGCTGGTGTCTATGCGCTCAGGGCCACGTTGCGGACGTCCGCCAAACGCACCCGGAGGTTCGCACACACAAGAGAGTGATCGGAGTCCATTCTCATGCTTGAAATCGGGCGAAAGTTTTACACGCAGCCTCTCCAGTGGTAACTGATCTCGATGTGATCGATCTGCGTCCGTGACTGGTGGGCGTCAAGTCACTCTTCTGCTGGTGCTGTGTCAAACGTTTGTGCTTGCAAGGAAGAGACGAGCATCTACATGCAGGTGTAGCAACTTCTCACCGTTATCACCACGGGAGCGTATACCATGTTGACCGCCCAGATGAAGCCCATCACAGAACAATTTTGCGACTTGGAGGTTCAGATAGTGGTGATAGAAATCAACTCTCACCGTTTGTGGGGACGTAGCCCGCAATGACGAACAGGCACCGTTTGTCCCGGCGCGACTTCGAAGCCTGGAACGAGCCAGCCAATCTAACGGTGCACATCCGGCTGTTGACCGGGCTCTAATCCATCAGGCCAGTGTCAGCCAGGGGATTTAAAATAATGCCTATGTCAGCATTTGAAGCTGCGTCATCTCCATACACGCGCAATGAGAATTGCTGCCAGTGTCGTATGTGGGGGATCACAGGGCTCGAACGTTGCAAACGGGTTTCAGATATACAGCAAATATCGATCGACAGGGTCTCAGGTGTTCGAGCAAGGGCAGCCTGTTGGCCAGTCTGAAGCAAAGTGCGCACGTTATCATAGTGCGCTCAACATGGAAACGCGCAGGACTCTGAGTGCCCTAAAATTTTATGGAGTTTTAGGGCTGAGGTGTGCTCAAAAAAACTCGCTCAATAAAAGTACCAGCTATTGCCTCCTCGTTATCACATGTGTGAGATTCAGAACTGCCTATCCAGCCCGTTATGGTTACGAAGATGTTTCAACAGACAACATAAAATCTCGAAGCCATCGAACGATGCACATATCTAGGACCCTAACAGCGACACTAATTTGAGTCTCATCATTCGTAGTGATCCAGTAACACAATACTGTTTCAGAAAGGATAACTTGTAGTAGTTAGAGAGAGTATAACCAGATTTCTGTGCTAAAGGGCGTAGGCCTCCTGTGCAGCGGAATAGGTCAGAAATTGGACTAACCCCTTTAACTCACGTGTTGGTCGAATGTGGAGAAGAGTCCCGGGTGAAGAGTTGTGGGTAGACCGTGAATGTTTTGATGGAGATGCACAATGCCTGAGGTGTTCACTGTAGGCTTTTCACAACATCTTCCATATGCTTGGTGTCGACTGGCATGCCGGCGAATGCGCGTATGCATCCGTTTGCATAAATCAAATTGTCTTGGTACGGAAAGATAAAGAAAACGTGCTGTTAGATGACAACCATGCGCCATGGGACCTGAAGTTGTTCGTAATGAGAGTAACGAAGGTAGTTAAGAAATAAACGAGTTGTCAAGCTAAGAGCACGAGGTAGCGGGAACCTTAAATTCGAGGTTAGACTTCATTGTGCATAGCCGAATAAACCAAATTCATCGAACATCATGCGCGAAAATGGCATACGGAGCGGCCGGTATACGGAAGCTGAATTCCGGAATGTAGTGTGATGGAAGTAGCTATGTAACCATGAAAAAAAGTATGTAGTACGAGGGTACGCTGTACCGACGCTTGACTGTCGCGCAACCACCACCGGTCGCAGCTGGGATAAGGGTATTGCAATAGTCGCCCAGTCTACGCAGGTTTGAACCTGCGACCTAGGTTTACAAGGCAGACTTGTGATCCCCCAGGCTACGGGCCGGCTATAACCGTACAATGGATGATGGGTTTAGGGGTTCAACCGTGCTAGTTGCAAGCCATTCCAAGTAGGGTCTACCGTTATTCGAATAACTGATAAAACGAGAAGCGACGACGAAATGGTCAAACATGGTGTGGAAGTCTCCTCCAGTTCGTTCAAACGCGAATATAAATGAGTGCTTCCGTGACGCGAAGTTACACAGTGTGTAGCAGAATGGGGGATTCGGTCATTCTCAAGTAACCATAACCCGAGGTGTGGACCAACTCATTTGCACCATAAGAAAGAAGGCCTATAGTCCATGAAAAGGTGCCATTGCAGTCTGAAGGAATTAACCAATTGCCGCCGCTTGATTACGTTATTATATTAAATTTATTGGTTAAAATTTTGATTTGTTAAGTCAGACGAAAGGGTTTAAGTACAGTGATCGAAGCCATCGGCTCTATCTATATTCAAAATTGCTGGAAACGAAAGTAATCATTCTCTCAAACGTGACATAATGAACAGCAGCCGGCATGTGGCCTTAAGGATCACAAGCCTGCATTCGAGCCTTCGTAGGAGACCAGACACCCTCGAAGTACCTGAGCCTACGCGCAACCAGTGGTTGCGAGGCAGCAAAGCGTCGACAGTGCGTAACGGCGTATGGCTGCTACAATTCTTTCTTCTTTCGTAAGGAACATAACTGAAATTAGGGCAGTCAACATCGCCAACGTACTACACTGAAAACATATCAGTCACTTAGGGCCCAAAAAGGAACTCCGTTTGCAATTTGTTAGCCAGTGGCCACCGTTTCCCAAGACCAAGAAAGAGCTTTGCACAAATCTTGGACACAAATAAGGGTTAAGTCCAAAAGCAAATTATTCGAACATTGCAACGAAACAGCAAACATTTACGGTTTTACAGGGAAGAAAAATTTGTGGCGGTTTGCTTGTCTTCTGTCGAAAAAATCAGAAGCAGTGAGGAGTGGAACAGTCATCTGGTGCAAGCATTATATACTATGTACACCAATCACAAATAGTTGCATCCATAATGCAATTGAGTTGCTCCCTAAGGCCTTGGTTTGCATGCTTAAACCGAATGAACATAATCATAAGTGCAACTGAATTGCATCCTTTAAAATTTCTACGCACCAAGAGTGCGCAGTGACCCTGATAATGAGCTAACCCAAAGCAGCCAATAAGCAAAGACCGTATAACCCATGGATGAATGAATGAGTTCGTGGTGTGTGGTGTTGACACGTGGGCGGCCCAGCCTACGTTGAGCAACGGTGACAAATCTGAAGCTAGTTACACTCAGGGAAGGGGAATAACGTTGTCCAAATACCTGATGCGACTAGGTATAAGTGGACTACCATGTACGTAAAGGAATGACTTGCGCACGGCACAAGTAGGGGAGGGGGCCGCGAACACTGTAATGCGACACCCCATTAACGAGCTTATGGTCAGTTTTGCACTGGCGCAACCCAAGGTTTTGGACGACCTACCAACGCTAGGGCATACGACAGTACTGTGTCCGAATAGCGAGGCAGTCAGCGGTGCATGGCTGCGAATGACCAGGGGCGGTGTGATGTGCTCGCGAGCGGCGGTCTGCTGAGAGGGCTAGTGCCGAAATACGACTGTGGCACTTTTGTTACAAGACGAGTAGATCCTGCTTTGTGAGCAGGCGTCGCTTACCCGTCATGGAGGATGCAGTACACCGACTTGCTGGTCCCTGAATCAATGAGATACTGCGACCAAGCTGTCGGCAGTTTGCATCGGCTGATCTGTACACATACATGTATGGTCGGACTGGTGCAGACCCAACGTAAGGGCAACTGACACACATCAACTGAATTCGTATGCCGTACCCAGTTGTGCGGTATGTTCGCACATGGGAATCACTGCATGGTTGCCTGGTTGGTTTGTCTGGACATTTCACCAGCTGTTCTCCAGCAAACGCACTTGGTGGACACAGCATGTCGGCGAACAACACTTGAATTCCTACCTGCGGGACTTGTACCTGCAAATCCCATAATTCCGCGAGGTCGATAACACTCAGTTCCCTACCTAACGGCCTGTGAACACGTAGTCCACAATTACAGATGGCACATAACGGGTCCAAAAGATAACGCTTCACATGTCGTAATGAAGTATTTAACGTACCAATGAAATGGAGTGTGACCTGATGATTTATAAGAGACATTTGCATGATAACTGGTATACATCCATTTAGTTGCAACTAACCGCTCGCCATAATTTACCTCTTCGTCACGAAGCGGGAAATTCGAGAACATAATTTTATACATGAAATCCCCTTTATAATTCCAATAAAGAACATCAGACGACGAAGGTTCTGGGATGACACTGTTATGACGACCTGCCAACGCTCCGGCAGGTTCGGTGTGTCCGGATATCAAGACAGTCACCGGTGTACGACTGCAATGATCGTGGGCTGGGGTGCAAAATGTTATGGCGTGCTTGTGAGTAAAGCGACAAAAGTGGCCTGCGCAACTTGCGACTGAACTCTGGGTTGACAGGTGGCCACATCCGTGAGAGAGATATATCTGCTGAGAGGGTTAATGCCATGATATGACTGACATTCCTGTATTTAACTTTGTAAGCCTGACAGAACTTCGCTGCAGATACAGGCAATTGGTTCAGACATAACTGTGCATTCATGACTTCTACGAGAACAGACATGGCGCACGAGTTCAACACTGGAAACAGCCCCTGGTGCGAGCACTAAAGAGATTGAAATTTGTTTCACCAATCCACACCGCTCTTCTCACTTCTACTTCCGATTGTAGCAGTGTCAAGATGAAATGGCTAATCATAGTTCGTGGGCAGCTTTGACTAGGTTTCTCAACGTCTTCATCTCCTGCAGAAATGTTTTGTCTGAAACGCTCAATCATGAGCAAATAAGGGAAAGTAAATATTTCTTGCAAACCAAACAATCTAGTCAATGTTGTAGTTAGAGGCCAACGTTTCGCTTTTGACACGAAAGTTTCGTCAGGCCAAATGAACCAGGAGGTGCTTGGTGCGGCGTTCATTACGAGAAGGGACAATAATTGCGCTTATCGAGATGCCAACAGGATGTTAGTCACCTTACAGGTCAAAGTGTCATTTCAGTGCCGCATTAGCGATCCCAGGTGATTCAATGTACAAGGTCATCACACGTCTCTGCATGCCATGTGAGTAAGATTAGTTTGATTTTTGCGCTCTGCCCCAGATCTGTTCGCCAACGTCCCGCGCACTCGATAACCCCACTCCATCGCCTGCATACGCAGCTGTTAGCTTCGGTAATTTCCGACGCCTCAGCAGTCAGCCTTAGGGGTGTACATCGCAAACCCTTTGTTAAAAGTTTCGACGCTATGCGAGTCAATTGCATGCCTCTTGTCCTCCTACCTGCTGGGAGTGAGTCAGTCAACTGCACTCGTGTCAAATGGACCGTTTGACCCTTCAGGTAAATCATACTTACTTTTTATTCGTGTAATGCCTTTCGGATTGCCGCTGAAGTTCCCCTAGTATAAGGACAGCCAGCACAGGTGGCTAATCGGACTAATGCTGTCACAACACTTTGCACTGCAAAGGTGCAAACGCATGCGGAGGCGTGCATCGTTACAAGTCATTCGAATCAGTTTGCTTACATAGCTCCTGGGTCAGACACAAAGAGTACTATGTCGTCCACGCACATGAGCTTTGTCCATCGGTCACCTGGCAGACCTTCAAGTACCATACCTAGGTACTTCACAGATGTAGCGGAGTGAATCCATCACTGTCACTAAGCTGCTTGGGACACTGTGTAGGGAGCTGCTCGTACCTGGCTTCTGTGTCGTAAAAAAGGCGCATTATGACAATCGGATGTATTAATAGACAGATGACGAGCTTTGGACAAACTATTGAGGTCATTCAGATGAGTTTGCAACCTCAGAGAGCAATCGGCCTTTCGATGATTGATACCAAGGACGATGTGGTCCGCATAGTTCATTAAGGTAGCTTCTGCGAGGGCTATTATTAAACCTATGTGTAGGTTCATGTGGAGGTAGCGCTCTTCAAAAAATGCCGATCGACCTCGTGGTATGGTTTCATCCACATAATTTTGTGTATAATTTGACCCTGGCGTGTCCAAGTATTGTGACAACGTCACTAGCTATCTATATCTGGGTTCTGACATCTGCTGTCCTTGAAAATCTCTCTGAAGACGCCGTGTGGACTTAAGGAGAAAGCGTTTAAGGAAAAAGACGGCATCTCAGTGAGGTCTCTCACCGTTTGTACCATGGAAGAGCTACACCGTCTGAACCAAGTGTATATCCAGTCTATTCTGGGGAACGGTAGCATCACAACGGTACTAAGATAAGGGTCCAACACATGTCGACTGGTCGCTTGCTCTTCTATTGCCTAGAAGCTTCAAGAGAAAATCATTCTTAAAATGAAGTCGTTCCAAACTCGCTCGAGTGACCTCCTTAAAAACACTTAACGTAGTTCGAGATCTACCGTTGGTGCAGTGACCAGCCTCATACATTCTATACTGTCATCACTTGACCACAGAAACAGATAGACTCGTAGGTGTTTTC